TCTATTACTAGTATTATTTTAATTAGTATATTAGCATAATGTCTATAAGAATGGAACTCACTGTGATATTTGTACACGGACATAAGCATAATTTGGTATATTTCATTCCCTAGTACTTCCCCATACTTTCCTCTCCTCCCTCCCTCTCAATCCCTTTCCTCTATTCTAGTGGCTTCCTTCTATTTTCATGAAATCTCTTTTTTACTTTATTTTTTCTCTCTAGCTTCCACATATGACAGAAAATATTGACTCTTGACTTTCTGAGTCTGACTTTTTTCACCTAGCATAATGTTCTCCAGTTCCATCTATTTACCAGCAGAGGACAATTTTACTCTTTTGAGTAAAACTGCATTATGTGTATATACTACATTATCTTTATCCACTTTTCTACTGATGGACACTGAGGCTGGTTCCATAACTTGGGTGTTGTGAATTGTGCTGCTATAAACATTGGTATGCATGTTTCACTATAGTATGCTGATTTTTGTGCTTTTGGATAAATAAGGAGAGATATAGCTAGGTCTTTTGTGGTTTCATTCCTAGTCTTGAATTATCTCCATTCTGTTGTACTTACTTGGTGCCCCACCAACAATGTATAAATGTACCTTTTCCTTCCACATCCTTGCCAGCAGTTATTTTTATTTGTATTCTTGATAATGTGATTTTAATGGACAGTTATTAGTTTCTCTTTATATTAAGTTTTGTAGTTTCCTTTTTATTTATTTTTTAATAAATAAAATACATAATTAAAAAGTCAAAACCATATCCATTCAGAGAATTCTTACTCTCTTGCACTACATTCCCACTCACACAATAGTTAACTGTTGTCATTATTTTCTGGCTTACATATTTCCCGTGTTTCTTTTTTAAAAAATAGAACTGTTGTTTACATGTGTAAACTTTAATTTCTTCTATATTATGCAAATAGTAGCAGTATATATCTATGGAATTATATATAAAATTATTTTATACCTTGCTTTCCTAACTTAACAAGAGAGCCTGGATATTTTTCCATTTTGCCTCATAGAGATCTTTTTATTTCTCTTCCTCCTTTCCTCTTCTCCCCATTCTTTCTGTCCTTTTTCTCACCACCACACCCCACCAATAATACTGTTGTAAAGGTGTACCATAGTATTTCAGCCATTCTCCTATGGATAGGCACTTAGGTTGTTTCAAAGTGTTTATAGTGAATAATCTTATGAATATGTGATTTCATATTAGGTGAATCTTTAGAGTAAATTTCTAGATGTGAGCTTGTAGGTCCAGAGGTAAATATATGGGAGGTTTTGTTAGCAGACACCTGGGCAACAGCATTTTAGGCAGACGCAAGACAATCACAGAACTCTGAGGAAGGGGCATGTAGCCAGTATTGCCAAGGAAGTAGCAAGCAGGGCCCATGATAAAAGATCTGGAGATGAAAGAGACTTGTTCAAGAGGCTACATACTGGTATTAGAGTTGAATGAGAACACTCTTCCATATTTCCACTTCACTACAGCACACTTATTAGATAGTCGAAGAATTCATGAATGGGAAACAGTATTTAAACAAGACCAGTATTGTCAGGTCAGAGATGGGAGAAGTTTATATGGATCACAGTCAAAAAAGAAAATAGAGGAGGTGAGATGTGGAGGATGATTTGGATTGGAATAGCAGGAGAAGAGGACTATATTCCTAATTTTTGGAACTTGTAATAGCTATGGGCTTGGAGGAGAAAACAAATGAATAGCTCATTTGAGAGATGAAGCCAGGAGTGAAATGTTTATCTGGGAAGGAATGAGGAAAAATTTGAAACAGGTAAGTAAACTGGGTTTTATCATAAAGAATCTTGGATCTCTAGGTGAAATTGGATGTTTGACTCAATTTCTGTGGAGAGTCACTATAAATTTTTGAAGCAGGAGAGATTGCTGTGTTTTTTTAGTCTTCTGTAGCCTGCAGTAGTTGTGCCCATATATTTTTTTTTCTTGAAAACTTTATTCAATACTTTATTAGAAGCCTATTTGCCTGTCTTTAGTTGACATTCAGCTGTTATTTTGTTAAAATTGTTTTTCTTCTGAATATCTTTAGAAATAGCTTCACTTCTGTATTAGAAAATACTTGACTCCCCAATTTTTTAAAATATATTTTTTAGTTGTAGATGGACACAATATCTTTTATTTATTTATTTTTATGTGGTGCTGAGGATTGAATCCAGTGCCTCACTGTTATGAGGCAAGTGCTCTACAACTGAGCCCCAGCCCCAGCCCCTTGACCCCCAAATTTACAGCACCAATTAAGTTTCTTAATTGCTTACTGCTATACATAGAGCTTAGTTGGTTTTAAGGTGAAAAAACAGTACAAAAACCAGGGTAGGATGTGGCCCTTGCTCCTAAGAGACCAGAAAAATGTGACAAAGGAATTCTTAATGCATTTTCACTTTGGAAGAATAGATGGTAATTTATCCCTCTCTTGTGTTTCTCATATTGGAAGGTAAGTTCAGAGCTGTGGGGTTCAGTGCTTTAGCCACTAGCAACTTTTAAATGTGGCTAGTCCAAATTGAGATGTACTGTAAGTGTAGACTGTACTCCTAAGACAGTATACAAAAGAATGTAAAATATCTCAATAATTTCAAAATATTGACTATATACTGAAATTGTTTTGAATATATATTGGGTTAAATAAATATAATATTAAAATTAACTTCACCTGTTTCTTTTTACTTTACCTTTATTAATAGAAAATTTAAAATTACATATGTGGCTCAAATTATATTTCTATTGGACAATGTGGTCGAGAAAGTTGTTGAAATTTGGGTTAAACATTATTTCTGTTGTAACTGTTATCAAGAAGTTTACAGTGTCAGATATTCCACTGTTAGTGATCTAAATTGGATAAACTCCAGAATTTCCATATTAGAAGTATATTTTGATCACTTCCAGGATGCTATATTGTAAAGATATCATTGTTAAAAGCCACTTCCAGGGCTTTTATTGCAGTTAAATCTTTCAAAAAGCACTTTCAAAATTTTACATCATGAAGATAACATTTTGAGTACTTTTGTATCTCTCCAGACTTAAAATACTTTTTAAAATTTTGCAATTAGAAATGTGTGGAGTGATACTCTGGTATCTAGGGAATATTCTGTTCCTAATCTTTTTTTTTTTTTTTTAAAGACTGCTTTTTCTTTCAAAAAATTTTTTTAGTTGTAGATAAACACAATATTTTTATTCATTTTTATGTGGTGCTGAGGATTGAATCCAGTGCCTCACACATATTAGGCAAGTGATCTACTACTGAGCCACAATCCCAGCCCATCCTAATCTTTTTTACCTGATGGTTTTAGTACCCTTTGAAGATCCTTTCCGGATAAGTGACTATGTTGGGAACTGTGCAAAATGGCAACTTTCCAATGCTATCATTTTTAAAAATAAATAGTTCAGAACATTTCATTCTTTTTTCACTTTTTTAAAAATATATTTTTAGTTGTTGATGGACCTTTATTTTATTCACTTATTTATATGTGGTGCTGAGAATTGAACCCCAGTGCCCCATACATGCCAGGCAAGGGCTTTTACCACTGAGCCACAACCTCAGCCCTTTTTTCACTTATTTTTAAGTGAACAAATTAACTGTGTGGCATGTGGACTAATCATTTCATACAATAGATATTTAATTAGGAAAGCAGGCTACAAATGGAAATTTAAAATATGGAATCAGAGCTTACTTGTACAATTGTTGTTCACTCTTAAAAGGAAGCACACTGTAAATCTTTTTGTAAAGCTAGTAATCACTCTTAATTTGTATTATTATAACCTGAATTTTCATGTATTTCACATTTATTTAACAAATTCTGAGTGCTATTATGTGTCAGACACTGTGGTAAGCACTTGGAATAGAGTGGTAAACAGCAGAAACATAGCTGTTCTGAATATCAGATGCATTTTAGAGTTCTCTGAGTCTGTTGTCCAGAAGCCTGCAGGTGAAGGCAATTATGAAACTGTGTCTAAAAACTCTTAATTTGAAAGGTAATTCAGGCTTTTGGTAATAACCCGGGTGACGTAAATACTTAGGAGTTCAGAAACACAATTATTCTTTATGGGTCTGATGAAAAGAATATATACCATGGTGGCAATTTCTTCCTATTGTTTTTTTAATGAATCATTAATTATGATTTGAATTCTGCCCCTTCTTGTGCAATTTTGCCTTTTTTTTTTTTTTTTGTCCTCCAAGGACATTTCTTAGTGTTACTGAAGTCCATCCCTCCTGAAGCCTGTCCTAAATGTTTGCTTTGGTGGTTCCTATGATCCTGAAGATACAAAGCAGTTGGGAAACTATTACCACCCAGCCCTGCTTTCTTCTCTAGATTCCATCTGGGCTAAGTAGGAAAGAAGCATTATTTCCCTAGCATTATCAATGAAGTCCATGGAAGTTCTGAATAGCCTTATGGACTTGGGGCAACCTAGCATGTCTCAAATGTGAGGCAACCACTTTCAAAAAATGGATTCAAGTATGATACCTGGGCTAAAAGACCTTTCTGTCCATGATTTTAGCTAAGTTACAGGACTCGTCTCAATGAATTGGACAATAATCTTGGAAATGAAGAGAGGCCCCTGATGCTTCTCAGTCATATAGTATGAAAGAAATCTGTGGCTTCTGGGTCTTCCAAGGAAGGGTCAAGAGATACTTAGTGACATAGAGCTAGATAAATGTTTGATAGAAGTTATCAAAACTAAGGAATTTTTCCATCAGAGATAAGTTATCTGATTTTTTTTAAACTTAAACTATATGTCCAGCAGTATCTCACTTCAGATTAGTCAAATAGACACACCTTCAGTTAGTTGTGTACCTGTCTTTCAGGAGATTTGATGTGTCAGTCATACTGCTATGACCTCAGGTTCCAGAATATCAATACAACATTCTTTCAAAGAAATATGTCACTTTGTATTGAATCTAAATTTAGAATCAGTAATTTTATTGCCAAAAGAAAAAGGATAGCCCAAATGACAAGAAGCCACTTCTTACTATGAATTGGTTTGGACATTACTTTTCTAAGTGTCCCAAGGATGTTTCCTTACTGAATGTACCCTCACCTCTGCTGTTTTCACTCATATCGTCTGAAGATGAACATTTTATTTCCAACTTGAGGTAGGAAGTAGAATGAATTTTTTCCCCCAGCCTTGGCTCTTTAGATGGATTACCAAGACACGTCCTTCTTAAAAGGAACTAGGGAAAGGAAAACTGGGCTTGTGAAGAAAGTGGTTTCTGTCTTGCCCCTTGTGTACTTGAAAAGGGGCAACTCATTAGTTTCTTCTGGCCTTGCTTGGCTATTGAAAAGAGGAGGATTGGCTTAGGTGAAAGGATGTCTCTTCATTCTTTACTTAAAATGTTGAACCTTGACTAAGTGAAACTTTATTTCTGGCGATTGCCAGCAACTGCCACTCCTTTGAAATAATAATTCAAGGGTTTTGGCTTTAGTTAAGAATGTGAAAGAATTTAGATGCCTGAGTGAAAGGCAAAACAAATTCTTAGTACTGTAAGTTTGATTAAGGAGGAGAGTGACACAAACCCTGCTAGGCTGAAGTATTAGGCATTTGGGGACATACAGTGTGGAATGTGCTTAGCTGCTGTAAGGACTGACTAGAGTGAGGTCACTGCAGGGAAGGGTGTGTATCTCATCCATTTCCTGACACTAAATAGGAACAGATCACACTTTGGCTGGAGTCAGCCTCCTGCCTTTCATGAGTTAAAACTTCCTTTGACTTCTGATTATTAAGGTTACTGTTTCTTGGTTTGTCAGGGAATATCCTGGTTTTAGCACTGAAAGTTTCCCACCCAGGTAAGACCATTGATCCTAGAAAAGCTGGGATATTTGGTTTTCCTGAATAAAATTTAAGGCATTTGGATAGCAATATGATAACTGAAAAACTGGCCCAGATCTCTTCTCTCTCTTTGTTTCTCATAGGGTATGTAGTGGATCCTGAAGTCACAATAATAACAATAGCTGCCGTTGATTATAGGCCTGCTATGTGCCAAGTACATGATCTTCCTTAGTAGTCATGCCAATTGTGATCTAAGGTATTTTAAGGAGAAGGATGCAAGAGTTGAAGGCTGTGACAAGTTGTTTCTCAGAGTCAAACAACTAGAATGTAGCTGAACCACATTTGAATTTTTAGTGTGCTTTAATCTGAAGTCTGCTCTTTCAACTAAGGGAAGAAATTGTTGACTTTGATGGTTAAGTGAATGGGTTCTCTGAGTTAGCATAGTTCTGGGGTCATCATTTTCACCCACTGTTCCCAAATTTGTTCTGATTTTTCATGGTGACATAAGATTCTCTAGGGTAATACATAAAAGCAGTCTGGGAATCTACAATAGCTACTTTATTCTAACACCTATAGCAGCCTCGAATAATTTTTTGGCTTTTAATGGGACTACTCAGTGCCAGGACATAAAAAGTTCTCAGGGAAGGGTAGAGTTATTTAAATTATAACACATGAGCAATAATCTTGAACTGAAATGTCTTAGCTAATGTATGCAAATTAAGACATTTTAATATAAAAATCACCAAAGATTTAAAGTATTAAGGAAAGAAAATCAGGAAAACACACACACACACTTTTTTCCCACCAAGGAAAATCTGTCCTCTTCATTGTTTGATTTGGAGTAGATAAAGGACAGGCATTCTTGCTGTGATAAAAGGTGTTATGCACATAATTCTATGATAGAAGCAAAAAATTGTATTCTAGGTTGCAAGCAGTAAGTGATTCATTTCAGAGGAGAATCTAATCCAGCCATTCAGCATAAGAAATCTCTCTACTAAAATCAGGGATGATTGAAACTCTTAGCATAATGATGGAAGCCCTTGCTGGTGGGCATGATGTAGAGAGGGAAATGTTTTGGATTGTGTAGGGTGATGCAGGAAGCTTTTAGGTTACTTGTAGCTTTTATTTTATCAATTCACGCCTGAGAGTTGCACTTTTACTAGAGAATGAAACACAGTAATAGTCATATAATTTAGATTAGAGGAGCTAGATTGTACTCATGTACAGAAAAGACTTAGGAATCTATTTGATCCAATTTGACAAATACTTATTGTGGTAAATATCAGGGTAGTGTGCTGGATACCAGGAGGAGCAGCAGGTGCCCCCTGGCCTCAAGGAGCTCAGGTGGAGGCTGAGGAAATAACAGTTTCTTCATGGCCATTTAGTGTCTTAATCTGCTTGGATTGCCATAGACTGAGGGAATAAATGAGAAATTTATTTTTGCATAGTTCTAGAGCCTGGAAGGGTGCCAGTGTAGCTAAGTTCTGGAGAGGGCTCTTCCTGGACTGTGGTGTGCTTACACGGTCTTTCCTCTGCACATGCATATTGGCAAAGAAATCTCTTTCTTCCTCTTAAAAGGCTACCTGTGCTTGGTGTGGTGGCATGTTGTAATCCCAGCAGTTTGGGGAGCTGAGGCAGGAGAATCACAAGTTAAAAGCTAGCCTCAGCAATTTAGTGAGCCATGAGCAACTTAGTAAGACCCTGTCTAAAAATAATAAATAAAAAAGGCTAGGGTTGTAGTTCAGTAGTTAAGCACCCCTGGGTTCAATCCCTGGTACAAAAAAAAAATGTTTTTGTGTCTGTATTATTGAGCCAGAATCCCACTCCTCTGACTGTATTTACTTCCTAAGAGCCCTATCTCCATGTACATTTACATAATAAGCTAGGGCTTCAGTGTGAGAATTTTGGAGAACACAAGTCAATCCATAGAAATAGACCCTAACTCACACCATAACAACACACCTACATGATAACTCTTCCTCTTTCCCTCTCTTTCTCTCTGAATAATAAATTAAAGAAATTTTATAATTTTGCTTGAATAATTTTCTTTTGATGGTATTGGGGATTGAATGAAGAGACATTTTACCACTAAGCCTCATCCTGGCACTCCCCCTCCCCTTTTTTTTAAAAATATTTTTTTAGTTGTAGATGGACATAATATCTTTATTTATTTATTTTTATGTGGTGCTGTGTATCAAACTCAGTGCCTCACACATGTGAGGCAAGTACTTTACCACTGAGCTATGGTCCCAGCCCATTCCTGGCCTTTTTGATTTTATTTTTTATTTTGAGATAGGGTCTTGCTAATTTATTGAGGCTGGCTTTCAACTTGTGATCCTCTTGCCTGAACTTCCTGAGTCATTGGAATCACAGGCATGTGTCATCACACTGCACACAAGTAATTCATTTACTTAACCAATGGCTGCTGCTTCTCAGCAGTCATGCACACTAGGGAATTTTTTTTTTTTTTTGGTACCAGGGATTAAGCCCAAGGCCCGTTAACTGCTCAGCTACCTTCCTAGCCCCTTTTTAAATATTTTATTTAGAGATAGAGTCTCACTGAGTTGCTTTGCTAAATTGCTGAGGCGGGCTTTGAACTCGTGATCCTCCCACCTCAGCCTTCCAAGCATCTGGATTACAGGAATGCGCCACCATGCCCAACCCATACTAGGGAATTTTTGTAAAACAAGAGAACTTGTAAATTGTTTTTCAACATAGTAAAATATCAGTGGACTCTAAATTTGACAATGCTAAATTTTTATGTTTAACAGCATTAATTAATATTTTGCCCTTTTTATATTCAAGAGCTAGTACTTTTTTCCAAGCATCAAACTCTTGAAAATCTAGTTGGAGGCTAGGCATTGTCTGTAATGCCCAATAGATGAAAGAGATGGAGATGTTTCATAGATTCATTACAGATTTCTAGACAGGCACTCCCAACCCCAGCCTTTCTTCCAAGTTCTGGTGCAGCACTTCCAGCTCTGTTGGGCATCCTCTTGATGTCCCACTGGCACTTTATACTGGGTGTGTTACAAGCATATTTCCTTCCAACTTACCTCCCACTTATCCGATTTTCTTGTCAATGGTTACATTGACACCACTACTAGGAGAATACTTAGAAATTATTGTAGTTACCATTAATGGTATTCAAATCTACTGGTACCAGGTTTCAAGAGTGGTAGGGTAACTGCGTAAGTATTACCTGGAAACCTTTCTATGATACTGATTTCTTCTTCCTTGGAGGGTGACACTGGTCAGAGGTAAGGCTAGGAAGCATGACAATTAATGTGCTGTCAAGTTTGAGAAGTTATGTACTTGTGCAGTATTGGTGGAAAGACGAAGAGATTTGGGTCTTAAGAACAGGGCAACCTATATTAAGAGATCATAATATTCCACTGGCCTTATTGCCCAAATTTAGAGGTTCTCAAAGGGCTCCTCAACTTTCCATGATGCCCCCAGGTTGCTACCTTAAGAGTGATCAAAAATGTTTTCCTCTGACCTCCAGGCTCTCTGTCCTAAGTTCTGAGTTTTGGTGACTTATAGCAACAACTATTAGAAGAAGAAATGCTGCTTTCTCTTGTTTATTTTAATTAATTAATTAATTAATTTATTTATTTTGTGGTGCTGGGGATTGAAGGATTGAACCCAGGGCCTTGTGCATGCGAGGCATTTACTCTGTCAACTGAGCTATATCCCTAGCCCTTCTCTTGTTTATTTTTAATCAAGTATGAGGCAGGTGCTTTCTTTAATTCTTCACAGAACACCAGAGATCGAACTCTTTCTGAGGCTTGCCAAAACAAAAGCACAAAACAGGAAAATGACCCCACCATATAGGCTCAGATTCACCCTAGGGCCCCTCCACCCAACTCTTGACCACTCCTTCCATGGGGCCAGGTGCAGCTTACCCTTCACTATGGGAATATCTCCAGCATCCCTATGGTTTAAATTTAGTCAAGATACTTTAAGCCTCAGAGAAGGAAGTTTTTCTTACCTCACTTTCAAAGTTGAACTTCTAGGCCTTAATTTCCTAATTCAGAATGATGGACATAGGGAATATCTATTCCATTCAGGGAATTTAACCCAAAGTTATACTTCATAGTCTTACCAGGACAAATTATAAAGCAGTTTGCTATCAAGATATATTCTAAATTGGGGGTTTTCACTTAAATGATACTACATGTTAACTTCAGTGACCTAGTCCAAGCTTCAGTCTGCCTATTCAGTCCAATTCCTTTTCAGTCTCTTCATCAAAGGTTCAAAACCCTGGGGGTGGGCTGGGGTTGTGGCTCAATGATAGAAGCACTTGCCTATCTTGTGTAAGGCCCTGGATTCTGATCCCCAGCACTACAAAAGTGAAAATAGAAAGCAAAAAAAAAAGAAAGAAAGAAAATGCTTTGGGATGCAGCTTACTCTGGGTCACCTTGTTACACACCCTTTGGGCACAGTAATTATATGTCCTTCAGTTGACATAGTAACCCCATAGCAGTTTTTTTTCATCTGAACTAACAGAAAGCAGAGCTGTTAAGCCACTAAATCAAGATCAAGTCCATCAGGAAGTGGCATGCTGGGATATGAACCAAGGCCTCTTGGTTTCAAATTTGTGAATTTAACTATTATGAGACACTACAAAAGCATACTAGACATTGAATTTGACAGGATTTGGAATAATAATGCTATTTTATTTTATTTTTTAAGTTATAAAGAAGTTTATTTTGGCTCCTGGTTCTGTTCCAAGGATAATAATGCTATTAATAGAGAGAGGGAAAAAAGTCAGATAAGAAGGTGTAATGAAGGGAGGGAGATGGTGAACTTAGCCTGGGTTATGAATTATGAGTTCCTTTTGCACCACTGGGTTCCCATAGCCTCTTTATCATTTTGTCTGCTTAATGGTATTGTTCTGAAGAATCTTCACTCTCAAGTTCATCACCATCCTTGACTCTCCAGGAGCCATGTACCAGTCCACGCTGTGGTGAAGCAGCCCGTCCGCGGAGCCAGTGGTAGGACCACAATCACAGCAATTGCCCAGACTGGTGGGGACTGGAGCACCGGCCTCTTCAGTGTCTGCAGAGATAGGAGAATTTGTAGGTTTTTTCCTCTTAATTTTAAGTTCTTTTTCTTACTTTTTCTTACCCAAGATATCAGTGAATGAACCAACTGCATCAGGTACAAAGACCGAAATTAAATGGTTTCAGAATAACTGGACTAACCCAAGTGACTCAAATGTACTCCCTAGCTGGAAAATCTTGCTTCTCAGCACTGTGGATGCTTTTGTAGAATAAGAGGTGCCTTCAAAGATTTTTAAATGACAAAATCCACTGTTGGCAAAGACACTCAAAATGGGCTCCCTCATCCACTGTTGGTAGAAATGTAGATTTCCTCATAGATGGCCTAGAATTACATATGGAAAGAACCTCAAGTGTTACATAGCTTTGATCCAGTAAATACACTTTTTAATTTTAATTTTAATCCATTTTTCTTGGAGTATTGGAGATTGAACCCACGGTCTTTGCACATGCTGAACAAGTGCTCTACCACTGAGCCACACCCCCAACCCCAGTAATTACTTTTTTTAGGAGTTTAGTCTAAGGAAATAAATCATGTGCATAGACTTAGCAGGAACATTACATTTTGCACATTGGTTATGACAGCAAGAACATGAAATAACCTAAATGTTCACCAGGGGATACTCACAAATCAGTAATTACACAGCCAGATGAAAAGATCTTTTGGATACATGTTTAGGTTAAATAAATAGGTTGCAAAGTTATGCACATTAGACATCGTTTTTTTGGGGGTGAGTAAAAATTTAGAAAAAATTTGGAAAGATACATATATAAATGTTTACAGTAGATGTTTCCAGATGGCAAGCCAATGAATAAGTTTTATTTTTTTTGATTGTCTCTTTTCAATATTCAGTATTTCTTTGAAGAATATCCAATACTCATAACAACAAGAATGTTCACAAAATGAAACTCCCTTCATGGATTGAAATCTTTTCGGATACTGGTTTAATTATAGAGTTACAAATACCACTGTCCTCTTGCTGCATGATTTTCTCTGGATTTGGAGTTAAAGCATATTGATTCCAATTTTTACCTTAGGACATTCTAATCCACTTCTGGTACCACAAATTAGGATCTCCCTCTTGTGCTTGATACTCTCGCCCTAGGGAACAACTGGGTCATGGAATCTCTCTTAAAGGAAGGTGGGGATGCTATTGTTTGATAGATGAAGGCCAGTCTCTTAAGTTCAAAATCCAAAGACCCTGGGTCTTACTGTTTTTGGAGAATATGACTCTCCCCATCTTGTGAAGCTTTCTGGGAACATCTGAACTTGCCTGACAGTAACACAATATGGATCAGCTGGAAACGTCTGAGCAAGTCCTCATTCGGCTGAGTCTTGAGGCTCAGCTGTGCAGGTCTGTTCCTGCCACTGCTGTCAATGTGGATTTCTGACCAGATGATTATTGTAGCCATTCTCTGGCTCTCTCAGGGCTTTTCCTGATTCTCTAGTTGTTACTTAGTACCAAGGTAAAGAGAAGGCAGAATAACCGTGCAGAGATGTTTGTCGCATTTGATTAGGGGCTGGGTGACATGAGTGTACCCTACCTATGGCAAAGGCCTAACTATAATGTGGTTAAGAGAACAGGTTTGATTAGATATGGGCCTCACCTTGATTCCTCACTCTGTTGTTTTTAATGTTTTTTTTTTAAATTTGTTATTTTTTAGTAATATGTGACAGTAGAGTGTACTTTGACATATTATATATACATACATGGAATATAACTTCCCATTCTTTCAGTTGTACATGATATGGAGTTACACTGGTTTTGTGTTCATATGTGTATATAGGAAAGTCATTTCTGATTCATTCTATTGTCTTTCCTATTCCCATCCCTCTTCCCTTCCTTTTATTCTCCTTTGTCTAATCCAAAAATACTTCTGTTCTCCACCCACTCCCCTTATTGTGTGTTAGCATCCACATATCAGAGAGAACATTTGGCCTTTGGTGTTTTGGGATTGGCTTATTTCATTTAGCATAATAGTCTCTAGTTCCATCCATTTACCAGCAAATGCCATAATTTCATTCTTCTTTATGGCTGGATAATATTCCATTGTGTAGATATACCACATTTTCTTTATCCATTCATCTGTTGAAGGGCACTTAGGTTCATTCTGTAGCTTAGCTTTTGTGAATTGAGCTCCTATAAACATCGATGCCTTACTCTGTTCTTAAATGTCTTTTAACCTTGAGAAAATTCTCTAAATCTGCATTTCTCCCCTCTAAAATGAAGATAATAAAGATATTAACCTCAAGGGTTGTTGTTAAGATTAAAACATATAATGCGGGGCTGGGGATGTGGCTCAAGTGGTAGCGCGCTCGCCTGTCATGCGTGCGGCCCGGGTTCGATCCTCAGCACCACATACAAACAAAGATGTTGTGTCTGCCAATAACTAACTAAATAAATAAATATTAAAAAAAAAATAAATAAAACATATAATGCATAGAACCCACTCTTAATATATATATATATATATATATATATATATTTTTAATATTTATTTTTTAGTTATCGGCGGATACAACATCTTCGTTTTGTATGTGGTGCTGAGGATCGAACCCTGGCCGCACGCATGCCAGGCGAGCGCGCTACCACTTGAGCCACATCCCCAGCCCAGAACCCACTCTTAACACTAGTTTGGAGCATTACTGGATCAGTTGGGGATATTTGGTTGTAAGCCAAATTAGGTTGAATGGTGCTTCCTTAAAATTCATGTCCATTTGAAACCTCTGAATGTAACCTTGTATGGAAGTAAGGTTTTGCAAATGTAGTCAAATTAAAGTCTCACTGGATTAGTTAGGCTGGGCAGGGCGTTCTCCCTGGAATCGTCCAGAAGGATCTAACCCTGCCAACACCTTGATTTGACTTCTGCCTCCTATATTTTCCAGTGAGAGAATTTCTGTTATTTTAAGATGCTCAATTTGTGGTATTTTGTTATGGAAGCCCTAGAAAACTAATGTAGAAGCAAATGCTAGACTTTATTAGAAGATAATCTAGTTCATCGAGTCAGAAAGGACAACATGCGTTGTTACCAGGAGCTGACAATCTACATATCACCAAATGTTTTTACCCTTGTGTCATCCTATCTGGGAATTGAGGTTTTAGCAGACACAACTCAATTTGCCTGGTTTGGGTCACATGCCTACTGCTTGGCAAGGCCAGGGCGTTCTGAATGACAGTCCTACTAATATTGCTCATAAGAGTGAAGGGATAATTTCCCAAATTTACTATTAGGGTGCTGTTACAAGGAAAATCCCAACAAATATTACTACAATGTTAATTGTAGTGAATCTTAGCTATTAATATTGAATGCTATTGGATATTTTTTGTTTTCCTTCAGCACATTGAGAGCCAAGAGTAGAGACAAGAGGCTTAGATTGGATGCTGCAATGATTTCTACCTAATCCTAGGAGCCCCTAGAAAGATGGCCAAAGAAAGGCTCTCTCCTCATCTTATTTACCTTAAACATTGTTGTACTGCTCAGCTTTTCTCTAACTCCCATCAAAGTTCAGGATACCACCAGACTATTTTCCTGAGGATTCCATTTGAGAGCCAGTTCTAGTGACAAGGGGAGATGGAAGGAAAGTGACAAGGGGAGTACGAAGAAAGTGACAATCTGGAGAAATATAACGCTCTTTACAACTGGGCAGGAATCATGCAGGAAGATATCACAGATCTAGCATGCAAGGTGATTGAATGTCATGTTCTAACTGTTTCCTACGTGGGCCTTCATTGGTGACTGTTCATAGTGTCTCTAAGTTAATGGCCTCAGAAAAACTCTTTAAAGACAATATCACTTTGTGCACTCATTATCTACACCATATCTGTGAGGACACAGGTGGAGTATGAGTGCTATGAATCTCGGGCTTCTTCCCATTCTTGTGTAAAAGGACTTTTAATTGGGAATTATTTCATCCATAGAGGATCATTTTAAGTAAATCACTGTGCAAATAGTTGTGACAGGCTTGGGAACAAAAACAGAACTGCTTCCACGCCAGATTCCCATCCTGGGATATTTTTCCTTTAAATGCTGGGGATTATTGCTCCAATTTGTCATCCATTAAGCAAAGGGTACATTATGAACAGCAATGATTTCCACTTCTTTTTGACATTTTGCATCTTCATTTTATGGTAATTATATATTCTTAACTGCCTCCCTCTTCCCACTCCTGTACTTTTATCTGAATTTACTCTGCACTGGGACTTGCAAATGGGTGTCTTTGTGTCCTTCATAAATAGAGTACCCAAGAGCTCAAATGTGAAGATGAGGCCAAGCAGCTAAAGGCATAGTGAATAAAAAACTGTGTATTCTGGCTTTAGGAATATTTGTGATATTGTTCCAAAGAAGTTTATAAGAAGGTGTAATCAACGTTGGTTTGTAATTCAATCAATATTTTCTGAATTCCCACCTGTGTATACAGGCACATGATGTATGTTATAGACATAATAATGAATAAGACAGAAATAATTTTGTAAAAGAGAGACAATTAATAAATAAACAAAATAATTGCATTTGTAATAAGTGCCATAAAGGAAACAGGGTATTATTATGCAAGGAAATGATAGAGGATATGGTAAAGGATTGTTTTTCAGAAGACTTGCTTAAACTCTATCTGACCAGTAAGAAGTATCCAGGCTCTCAGTGTAGGGACACTGAGAAGGCACTGTAAACAACAGGTAGTAAGACTGATACGTACTAGGAACCATAAGACGCCCAAGATGGATGGAAGGAAGCAAACCAGGATTTTCTTTGAGGAAGGAGGAAGGAGGCATGAAAAGGCATCAGACTGCAATTGGTGTCCCCTCACTGTATCTCAGGTTAATAGTACACTCTCTGAAAGCAGGAGCCACAGTTGTATTGTTTACCACTCTGGTGTCCAGCCAAGCACCTGGCCCATAAGAGGCACTTAAAAATATTTCCTGAGCTGGGTGTGTTGGCACAGGCCTATAATCCCAGGAGCTCAGGAAGCTGAGGCAGGAGATCACAAGTTCAAAGCCAGCCTCAGCAACTTAGCAAGG